GTGGAAGGTGGGCTTGAGCAGCAGGCACACCAGCGGGTTGTAGAGCGTCGAGGACTTGGCAAAGACGGCCGAGAGCACGAAGGCCAGTGCTGGCACCTGGCTGGCATCCCCGAGCAGGGCCCAGAGCGCCAGCACGGCGTAGGGAGTCCAGGCAGCCAGGAACCCCAGGCACACGGTGATGCTCATCTGGAGAGGGAGCAGAGGCAGATGGGGACACCGTGAGCCTCCTGCAGCACTGGGGGGACGCTGACACCCCCCAAACACAGCCACATGCAGCAGGACCCTGAGCAGCCCTCACATCCCTGGGAAAGGTGCTCAGCCTTCTGGACCTGTACTGGAATGTCAGAGAGCAGGGCAGCAACTCAGCACAGCCCATGCATAGACCTGGTCTTCAGGCCCTGCCCCACCTGGGGAACTCAGAACAGCCTCTGCCTGCTGTGGCACGTGGGTACAAAGGACACAGTGACCTGGTGGGACCAGCTCAGCTTCTGGCAGCACTGCAAATCCCTCCAGCAACCTGTGTGGCTTGGGGGGCTTGGAAATGGGCTGTGCTCTGTCCCCTCCCCTGAGTGGCTGTGGCTGTTTCGTTTGAAGCCAGGCTTGCAAGTTGTTTTCTCTCAAGCTCTGTTTTTAAAAGGTTATTTGGGGTTTTTTACATATTCTTGGTAAATTATAGTATTAGCTTGTAGTCTGGGGAACAATGACTCATGCAAGCTCCTTTATGATCTTTTCCAATGTAATTTAAAATGAAAACTCCTCCACCTGATGACTTTAAATGAGGAGCAATGTGTTGTTACCCACACTGACACAGACACCTGCAGAATTCATCAGGAACAGCAGACGCCAGGCAGGAGGGGCCCTGCTGTTCACCTGCCCATGGGCAGTGGGCTGGGCAGGACACGCTGTGACCCCACAGGCCCCCAACCCCAGTACCTTGAGGAGCAGCCCCATTCCCCCGTACCCTGAGGAGCAACCCGTGCAGGCCACGCAGGCCACAGTTCCTGTTCCTGTATCCTGAGGAGCAGCCCTGTTTCCCCGTACCCTGAGGAGCAGCCTCATTTCCCCATTCCCGTACCCTGAGGAGCAGCCCGTGCAGGCCGCGGTTCTCTCGCCGGGGGGACATGTGCCTGTGCCGCCTCAGGGCTCTCCGCGACGCCCACACTGTCCACAGGATCAGCGCGTAGGACGCCAGGATGAGCAGGCAGGGCAGCAGGTAGCAGCAGATGAGGAGGGCGAGGATGTAGAGCGTGGCCTCCCTGCTGGAGGGCTCCCAGGTGANCTCGGGGTGCTGAGCCAGGGCTGGGCTCCTGCCCTGCAGCCCCTGCCCCTCGTTCAGGTGACACCCACAGCTCTGCTGCCGCTGCTCAGGAAGGGAAACCCACAAGGGTCAGACGCTGGGTGGGCTCAGGGAAGAACCTTGTGCTCAGACTTCACTGCGCAGCAAATTCCAGGCAGCCCGATGAGGGGCAAACCATCTGCCCTGGAATGATGCCATTGTTAATGGGGATGGGCTTGTTGCCATCCCAAAACCTGCTGGGACCACACGCTGCAGGACAGGGCCGTGCGTGGCTCTGCAAAACAACAAATTGCACTTTACCTTTTTTATATATATATATAAATATATTCATTCACAGCATGAAGAGTCTTGACAGCTTATACTGTGAATTTGTTTCAGCACTAGTAAGGGAATCTGACTGGAGGAAACGTATAATTTATGGAGTTTGCACATTTTGAACCCAGAAAAGATGCATACCTTGACAAGAGCAGATGTTGCACATACAGGGAATCACCTCTGGAAATGTAGTTTTGTCACTTAAGAAATCCTTGACTTCTGTTTTATGGGATATTTTGTTTTTTATGGTGAGGGATCTGATCCACAGTACTGATTATAGCATGGTTTTGGGAAAATGGGGGTCTGTGACAGCACAGAACTGCATTTGAAATTGTAGCTTCTTTTCTTTGGCTAAAGCCAGTTGCAGTTGGGTTTCTATAATTGGCAGTTGCTCCTTGCTGGCACTTTGGCTTCAAATCTTAGAAAAGAGCAGCTTCTGTTTTGCCTAATTTATGAAATGTCCCTAACACTCCAGAATTCACCAGTGGAATTTTTAAGCTTCAGTGGAAGCAAAGGCAGGACATAGGTGAGGAAAAACAGCCTTCAAAATCTAATCCAGGTACAGAAAGATTAATATTGCACGTGGCTGAAGCAGCCTCTGCTGGGAAGTGCCAAACAGCTTCCATTAAGCTGTCCCATTTTCCTCTTCTGCTTACACTGTTTCAGAATCTGTGTTATCACTGCATTTGTTCTCCATGGCCCAGTGTTTGCTCGGCATTGCCAACACCTGAACGTGTTTGTTACACATTTGCCATGGTGACACATGCAGCAGTTTGCTCCCACTGCCAAATTCCTCCTTGGTCATTTACATATCCACCGTCAGGATGTGAATTACAGTTCAGCACCCAAATCTGACATGCAAATGTGCATGTTTGTTTCTGAAGATGTGAGACTTAGTTTTGGTCTGGTTTTGCTACTGAGTTTTTTAATCCACTGCTTACCTACTGAGAGAATAAAAGTTCAAGAATGTATTCAGAATCCTGAACCTGTTGTCTGAGCAATTTTTCAAAATGCCACATCTTTTCCCCTGCTGCCCTTTCCCTGCCTGCAGAAAGGGCCTCACCTCTTGTCCCAGAGCTGGGACATGCACAGCTGGAGCTGAGCAGGCTGTGACAGCCATGGGTGCTTGTTTCATCCATGGGGGATCTGTGTGAACATCAGCCTGTCATCCTTCTGGACCCCAGCAGGCTGAATCAAACTTGTTACCCATCACTCCTACTGCCTTTCTCACCTTTACGCCCAGGAGCTGCTGGCAGGTCCCCGAGAGCTCCTCAGGTGTTCGGTGGTGGGGCTGCTGTTACCCCGGG